TCAAGCTCAAACTTCCTCGTCCTCGAGGAACCATCACTTAAGCGGTGACCTACACCAGGCGCACTCCTATGAGGAGGAAAACCTTAGCATCGCGGTGGCCGTGAGCCGAGCCTCAGAACTCCGAACCATCTAGGCTACTGTCACTGAGGTTGCACCTGAATCCAGCACAAGGAAGCAATCCACAGGAGCCTTCAAACCCATAGAGGATAGCAAGATGGGGCAGATCGACCCCAAAGACACCAGCAAAACCATTCTGATCGGTTGCGCCTTTCTGATTGACAAGAGCACGAGCTCAACGACTTCCTGCTCTAAAATCGGGACATCTTTGCATGGAAATGCCAGGAATCCCGAGGCAGGTCGATGAGCATAGCCTCGATATCTTGCCCGCAGCCAAACTGGTCAAACAACACCTCCGTCGCTTCGATGATGAAAGGCGAAAGGCCATTGGAGAAGAGATCACCAGGGTCCTGGCGACAGGATTCATCAAGGAAGTCTTCCACCTAGAATGGATTGCTAACCTGGTCCTGGTCTAGAAGAAGAACGGAACCTAGAGGATGTGCGTGGACTACACCAACTTGAACATGGCATGCCCAAAGGTACCCTACCCGCTACCGCAAATCGATCAGGTGGTTGACTCGACCACGGGTTGCGAAACCCTATGCTTCCTGGACGCATATTCGGGGTATCACCAAATCGCGATGAAGGAGGCCGACCAGCTCGCAACTTCCTTCATCACCCCGTTTGGTGCCTACTACTACGTCACCATGCCATTTGGGCTCAAGAACGTAGGAGCCACCTACCAAAGATGCATGAATCGATGACTCGGCGAGCTCGCTAGGGAAGTCATGGAAGTCTACATCGACAACATTGTCATGAAGTCAATGAAGGATGACCAATTAGTCAGTAATCTGGAGGCCACCTTCACTCGCCTTAGAGAATTCAGGATCAAGCTCAACCCCAAAAAGTGCGTCTTCGTGGTCCCCAAGGGAAAGCTCCTCGGATTCATCATTTTCGAGCGAGGCATTGAAGCCAACCCATAGAAGATCCTAGCGATCAAGAATCTAGGCCCCATCATGAACCTGAAGGGAGTCTAGAAACTCATGGGATGCCTAGCCTCTCTTAGTCACATCATCTCGCAGCTAGGGGAGCATGGCATGCCACTATACAAGCTCCTAAAAAAGGCCGATCAGTTCACCTAGATGGTCGAAGCATAGGAGGCCTTCGAGAAGCTCAAAGCATTCCTAGCAATGACTCCTACCCTAGTATCGCCCGAGAAGGGAGACCCGCTCCTCCTCTACATCCCCACAACCACTCAGGTGGTCAGCGCGGCACTCATCATCGAGGGAGGAGAGAACAGGCACTCCCATAAGATCCAGAGGCTAGTATACTTCATCAGCGAGGTACTCTCGGACACTAAGGTGTGTTACCCGTAGATCTAGAAGCTTATTTATGCTATCCTCATTGCCAAGCACAAGTTGCTACATTACTTTGAGGGACACCCCAACGTGGTCGTGGCTTCGGCCCTGCTCAGAGATGTGGTCCAGAACCACGATGCCTCTGGTCGCATGGCCAAATGGGCAACCAAGCTCATGGGCTACCACATCACATATGTCCCAAGAACAGTGATCAAATCGCAAGTCCTCGTGGACTTCATCGCCGAATGGATCGAAGTGTAGATGCCCCCACCCCTAACCCACAAGGAATACTACACATTATATTTCGACGGGTCGGTCATGGCGACGAGCGTGGGGGCCAGGGTCATCCTAATCTCCCCAATAGGAAACTGCATGGAGTACGCCATCTAACTGCACTTTCGGGCCACCAATAACGTCGCAGAGTATGAAGCCCTCATCCACGGCCTCAAAATCGCCTCTGAGCTCGGCGCTCGCCGCCTCTTCATCAGAGGAGACTTGGAGCTAGTCGTCAGCCTGGTCATGAAACAAGCCTCATGTCACGACAGCAATATGGCGGCTTACTACGACAAAGTTTGGAAACTCAAAGAAAGATTTGACAGGCTAGAACTACACCACATCCTTAGACGGGACAACCTGGCCGCTGACTCCTTGGCCAAGATCACATCAAGTTGGGGACCTACCCCCTAGGAGTGTTCATTAACAACGCGCACGAACTATCAGTGCGAGCTCTTCAGCCGCACGACCAACCGACGGGCACGGCCGGCAAGGCGGAGCCCTCCCTGCCAGTTGAACACCACCGTGACTCGGGGGTCGTAGGCCCTCCCAACCTAATGATGATCGATCGAGCAATGGCGAACGCTCGATCAGACTGGACCATGCCCTTCATAGAATACCTAGTGAGGGGGAATTTACCTAATGACCTAACAGAAGCACGGCGCCTAGCGAGGCGCTGCAAATCTTACATGATCATGGAAACATCCTTTATAAGCGTAGCACCTCAGGGATTCTCTAGACATGCATCTCACAAGAGGAGGGGTAGCAACTCCTATGAGAGGCCCACATGGGGACCTGCGGCCACCACACGGCACCTAGAACGCTGGTTGGGAACGTCTTTCGGTAAGGCTTTTACTGGCTCACGATGGTCGCAGACGCTCAATAGATCGTACGAAGTTGCGAGGGATGCTAGTTCTATGCACGACAGACACATTTGGCCACACAAGAATTGCAAACCATCCCGTTAACATAGCCCTTCATGACATAGGGGCTCGACCTGCTCTTTAGGAAAGCACCCAAGGGCTACACCCACCTTCTGGTGACAGTCGATAAGTTCACCAAGTGGATCGAAGCAAAACCCATAACAAGAGTAAGATCTGAAGACGCGGTGGAGTTCTTCCTCGACATCGTATACAAATTTGGAGTCCCAAACTCCATAATCACTGACAACGGCACACTCTTCACCGGGAAGAAATTTCTTCGATTCTGCGACGACTATGGCATTCGAGTCGACTAGGCCTCTGTCGCTCACCCACAAACCAATGGCCAAGTAGAGCATGCGAACACTATGATACCTCAGGACCTCAAACCCCACATCTTCGACAGGCTCTACAAGTTCACGGGACGATAGGCGGGGGAGGTACTAGCCGTGCTCTAGGACCTAAGGACGACTCCAAACCGATCCACCAGTTTCACCCCATTCTTCATGGTATACGGCGCTGAGGCCATTCTACCAACCAACCTCGACCATGGAGCACCGCGAGTCCTAACGTACAACAAAGCCAAAGCGGAGAAGGATCGACAAGACGCACTCGACCAGCTGGACGAAGCCTACAAGAAAGCCCTCCTTCGCTCCATGAGATACTAGCAAGCACTACGAAGGTACCACAACAAGAACATCCGAGAATGAGCTTTCTAGGTTGATGACCTTGTCCTACGGTGGATCCAAACCACCAACAACATGCACAAGCTGACGCCGCCCTGGGAAGGACCCTTCATCATTGCTAAAATCATCCACCTAGGATCCTACCGGCTCATGAACGATGCTGGCGAGATCTACACCAACTCATGGAACACCGAACAGCTACATAGATTCTATCCTTAATCTCACATCCCAAACGCATATTAACACCCCTGTCACCACGAATTCGCCAACTAACCTTTTTTATAAAAAGATCATAGGCAGGAGGGTTCCTAGCGGAATGAGACGAAGGGCGATGAACGAAGAAGCAACAGGCAGAGCACACGTAAGACCTGCACCCCTTTTGTCCATTTCTTTAATTTCTTATGCAATCTTTCCTCGCTTCGGGCACAGGCGGTCGCCCTTAAGACGCGCAGCGACCCAAGGCGTGATAAGCCCTTAGGACCGCGCACGCGAAGCGACCCGCTGCATCCATGACCCCCGCATCGTATTTAGGAATCCATCTCTTCAGCCGGTCCTTAGAAGGGCTCAAGGCCACAAAGGGATAGGGGCAGGAAGAAGATGGGCCCCGTGGCTCTAATCGGTGGTGCGGAGCCACACGACCATCTCTTTCTGTGTTCGAGTCATTCGCTTTGAAGTCACTCCGGTTGAGCCCCTCTGGGGGGAGGCATCTTGCCCTCTGACCACTGCGGAGGCGGTCGGGGACCGACGGGTTTGATGGCCAATGATTTATGGGACGTCTCTCGACGAGGCATAGCCAAACTCCACGTCGATTAAGGAGGGTATTGGCTCCCGCTTGAATTACCCATTGACCCCGATGAGGCACACCGCTCCGACCATGTGGTTACGGTGGACATGCATCTCCCCACGTGGGGCAAAAACCAAAACTATCCAAAACAGGCCACCGTGACCCCCCCCCCGAGGACGCTAGAGACCCCCAAAAGAGCAAAGCTTATGTTCCCATGACGAGCTCCCTCCGGGATCTCAAAGCCATGGCCTGAAGCCACCGGACCAGCCAAGGTCAGCTCGCAGACAGTCATTCGGGTGCCCTAGGACGCGATGATGCCTTATTCACAAGGCAGCCACAAACCCCATGTTTAAAAAACCTACCGCGATCCAAGCACACACGGTCTGGGCCCGCTCGAGCCTGAGTATCAACTTTTGGCTAGAAGGAAACACCCCACGATCGCGCTGCCGCTCGAGAACAAGGTCATAACCCGATTAGCAGATGGGGAGACTTGGGCCCAATAAGGTCAAAGCACAAACAAAGCGAGGGCTTTCGAGCTGAGGGTGACCTCTCCATCCCGTGGTAAGGAAGGTCGACAACCCACTCGGATGTCCTGACTTCAGAAACAAGGCCCAACAATTGGACCTCGTGGCCCGGGGGCTCGGCACGACCTCGAGGGAGGGATACGACGTTCGAAAAATACATCCCATATGAACGGGCATTACACATGCGCTCAAGCCACGGAGGCAAGAAAGGAAAAAGCCCAACACCACCTCGAGGACAATGCCACCGGGGGTACGAGCTGCGAGCATGGTCAGACAAGGTGGAAAATAATACCTTGAAGGCTCCCTCGTAGCATCACGACTCCCCGAAATTGAAGAACACAAGGAGGAGAGATGGGTGAAACGGCCCCCGGCGCAGAACATCTCGTCGTGTCGTCACGATGCCACGACAGGGCATAGTGACGAACAACGCCCCGGATCCATCATTCAGCGGCCAGGGAGCGACGGACGTTCTCTCCGGAGAACCGACTCACTGCTTGCACACTCTAATGACTCGTGGTAGAGGAGCGAACCTTCCCTCGATCAATGGCCATCACGGGTACCCAAGACACTTAGGCACAGGAAAAACCAAGGCCGCATGATAACAGAGCCAGCCTCCATAGCATCTCATCCTCCCCTGTTTGCAAGTCCCCTTCTGGCACCAGACGATGAAGGGACACCTCCAGTCTCTGGTCACTGTGGACAACCCCTAGTGGGATGCACAACGAGAGCCACCGGTTCTCCTCAAACATTTATCCCTCATCTCCTCATTCTCTCAGCATCTAACCGCTCAGAGGAGAAAGAACAGTCATAGTCATGGTTGAAGGTGCTTCAAATGGTAGAAAGGCCCCTATTTATAGGCCCAAGGGTAGACTGAGCAGCCTTAGACCCCCGCGCCATGTGGCGAGCCACAGGAGGTCATAGCCAAAGTTAGATACCCACGTGAGGTCAGGGAAATTGAGACCCTCACAAAGGTAGGGCTGGTACAACATCGACGAGACCATTTGGCCCTGCCTGGGTCATGAACCTTGATACGCAACACACTAACATGGTAGGCTCAGCAGTCGCATACCACGTCGTCAGGGCGTCCTAACGGAGCGGAGCGTAACAGCCACCTACCGCATTGAACGCACAATCCTGCCAAGGGATCGAGCGACAAAGCTCGAACAAGCCACGACTATGAACCCACACTTGACCTACACACATCTCAGCGATTTCATGATCCCTTCGTGATCGCAAAAACGCTCGGGGGCTACTATCGGGGTTATGATCCCCGGGTGTCTCAAGGAACCGATTAGTTAGCAGGCCGGGCGGCCTGCTATGCATCAGCTAGCGAAGGCCCGAACAACCGAGGACCAGCTGAGACAAGTGAACCAGGCCAAACGCCAAGGCCGGGGTCAGCCACGACCCCTCCCTTCTGCCTTAGCCACACGACGCACAAGAGACTCATGACCTCTCCACCGTCCTGATCCCTGGGAGGAAAGGGGAGAGGTCAAGCCCAGCCAAGCGTGTCTGCTCTGATAGGAGTAAGCACGCCGCACTGACCTGCAAGTACCAAGGGGACAATGGTCACCTCAGTCCAGTCAGACGCCATCTCGGTGCTATGCAGCACAGACAAGACAACACCGTGCGGCGGTGACTGCTAGTACGGCGACCCACCATCCAAATATGGTACAACATGACACATGTATGATTCAACCCACTACGGGATGGGATCCACGATGGAGACCTTGACTTAGAGGCTATCCAAACCAACGGGAGCCACGACCTCGGAGCTCGGGATCGTAACCCTACAAGCTATTCAGATGCTCGGCGACCTAGGGACGGCCACCAACTACTATACGACGCCCCTAGAACATCAGGAGACGATGACGAAGACCACGACGGAGGCCATGTCGCATAGGACAGCTAGCGAACCATAACCGTGCCAACAGTGCTACCACGGTCAGCATAGTAGCACCACGCCACACCTTACCTCTATGTGGGCACAAGACCATGATGACAACCACGCCCAGACATGCACCACAAGACGGCGTAGCTTGCAAGCCAAGTTAGCTAGGCCCCTCCCTCAGGCTCACGACCCCTCGGTCAGAAAAACCTCCTTCTTTGTACATGCACTGGCCCCGAACTCTATATAAAGGCAGCCAGGGCATTATCATCATCATCTTCAAGACATTCACTCTATAGTAGGGCTCCTGAGGCTTCACTTCAGGCAGTCCATCTCCTGGATCTAGCTCTCATACCTCTTCCACCATTCTTGCACCCTTGTTGTAAGAACTTCAGAGCATTCAAGCGAGGAACACGCACTCGATCATCTCTGAGACTTGACGTAGGGCTCCGGCCTGAACCAGTATAAATCCTCGTGTCTTTTGGATGCTACCATCGTCTTCCTAGAGCAGCGCGGCAATCGTATAAATTTACTAGTCCGGTTTACAAAACACCGACACATCTAATGGTTATTATTTTTTTTAGGGCCATCTAATGGTTATTATGTTCACTGATATTACAGTCTAGCAAATGAGTGGTTAGATATTTATAGTTTTGTGAGATCTAGAGTTATTTTTTCTAGCACGTCTCTTCAGAGTTAGAGCTTCTGGTTAGTGCTACCTTGGTTCGAAAAAAGAGTGCAATTTTGGGTGTGGATTGAGTCAAACTTCTTTAGATTTGACTAAGTTTATACAAAATATTATTAATATTTATGACTCCAATAGGTATATAGTGAAAATATATTGCATGGTGAATCTAATTATAATTATTAGGTAACATAATAATATTTTTTTATATATTTAGTCAAAATTGAGATAGATAGGCTTGATAGAAAGCTAGAATTGCGTCTTTTTAAGAAGGATGGAGTAATACATTGTAAGATCTTTTTGCAATTTGCATGCATACCATTTTGTGAACATATTTCCCTTCGTGTGACTGATTAGGAGTTGGTTTACTTTTTTTGGTAGGAGCAAAGAAAGATACTGAACCTGAGGCAAAACTAACACCAGCCACGAAAATATCTGGCAGGCCTGTGGAATCACCAAAGAAATTGGTTAATACAGCTCCTACTAGGTGCTACTCACAGCGGGCAAGGCAAGGAACTGTAGACAGTAGTAATTTGAGCAAGAAATTAGACAAGAAGAAACAAGAAAAGTGGGATAAGGAAATTGCAGATGGTCATTCAACGAACCAACAAGACCCTAGAGCAAAACTAGACATCACCATGATTGTGCAGTCTATGAAGCGCAGAAAGCGTTCAGCCCGGCAAAGGAGAAAGAGTTCTGTACCGTGGGTAGAACTGCTTGGGTTTAACTTCATAAACGTGGAAAGGGCACGTCGGAATGATCTGGCTGTTGACTCGAGGAAGATGAAAAGAACTCATAGAGGCGCCAAGTCGTTGTGCCTGAAAAATAAGAGAGCTAAGGGAAACAAGAGTGTTGGAGGTGGAAGGGATGCAAGTAACCAGTCTGCTCCTGCTAATTTTGACAAGGCCCAGGACAATGCAGCAGATACAGATGCTGCTGAGCATCTCAGTGTGCCCAAATCTGATACATCATCAAAATCCAAGGAGCAATGTGGTACAGATGCAGATGAATATGCTTCTAAGCAGAGTGGTGTCCCAGTCCCAGTCCCAGCAAATGACACACTCATTAATAACATTTCGATTGATTTCAAGAAGAGTAAAGATGCAGTTGTCGATGGTCTTATGACGACAACTGATGTTATCAGTCTTTATGAAGCCAAAGAGAACCATACTAAGTTTGATCCTGCAATAATCCCAGGCTTCGATCTAGAAGATGGAGCTGACAAATTTGATACTTCAACAGCACAATCTGCTCTGGCATCACTGTCTACTGTCTCCGCGCCAGACCCGTGCATCGAGTTTGCTGTTAAGCTTCTAAAGGACGAAACGCCACTGACAGCATATGTTCCAGAAGTTGACGAGATCATTAGGAAAATGATGTGCCATCAGAAGAGCACAAATGCTGGGACTTCAAAATCTGCTCAGGGCAGGAAGGACTAAAAGTGCAGGTAGCATCTGAACAGACAAGGAAACCAGATAAGGGATGCCAATTTGGTATCTGCAGATCAGTGTAATCGTTTGTCATTAATGCACAATTGGCACATCCTAGTGACCGGTGCCTTAAAAAGGTCCTTTTTCATCTTGGTTACTCCCTCCGTTCCAAATCATAGGGCGTTTTGACTTTTTTGGTATATCCAATTTGCTACGTATCTAGATATAATAATATATCTAGGTACATAGTAAAACGGATGAAAAAAAAGTCAAAGTAACTTATAATTTGGAACGGAGGGAGTACTCTCTGTTTCATATTTGGGTTGAACAACAGTTTATTATGTTCCTCTTGTAATCAAAACTGTAATGTTTCTATCTGCTAAAAAAGAATTGTAATGTTTCTTTCTGCTCCTGTTATTTTATTCTGCTGGAAGATTCGGTCAAAAATTTTATTCTGCTGGAAGAGACACCATACAGATACAGGCAAGGGGCGTGATGCCTGGATGATGATGCAATTGTTGAAACTGATTATGTGGTCACAGATTTTACAAGAATTGTGGCAAGCTTTGGTCATGTTTGGTACCGTTTTACCAACAACTTCATTAGCTATTGTGAGTTTTTTTTTTTTTGCCAAAAAGGTCTTTTAAAAATAATTTCACCTGTGAAGCTTCTTAAATCATGCTCTCACGTGAAAATAGGGTGGGATGAAACTGAAGATAATAGTTTTTCATAGCTTCACCTCACATTTGTGGGGCCTGTGTGGGATTATCTGAGAGCATATTTTAAAGAAATCTACATGCAGTGTTGTTTTGCCAAACGAGTCTCTAAAATAACTTCAACTTCACTAAGAAAGCTTCTTATGAAGTTAAAAGCCAAAAAAATAATTTCACTAGTGAAGCAAAGCTGTGTCAAACGAGGTCTTCGTAAAATGTTTTTTTTAAAAAAAACTAATAGTAAAACTAAAAGGAACCTATACTTTTGGCCATCTTGACTTTATATTTGGCAGCATTACTTAATCTATGCTTTTGGTCATAGACTTATATTGCATTGCTAGTATTATTTCTACATAGAATCACTATATCTATACCACCCTCTGTTTTAAATTATAGATCGTTTTAGGCTTTGAGGTTCATAGATTTTACTACGGTATATCTAGATAGATACGTAGTAAAAGTTGTGTACCTACGAAAGCAAAAAGAGCTTCGTAGAAACACTAGTGAAGAGTTTCAACGTTTGGGCTCGCCAAGCCCACGTTACGAGAGTAGCAAGGTCGATACGGGCCTCAGCGGGCGGCTCCCTTGCTTGCAAGGCCCGCTGTCCGCATATAGACCAGGCGCTCGGGGACCGACGCCCGAAACTCCGTGGATTGCCTCTGCTACCTCGCGGAATGCTCCTACGTGCGTCAGCCGCTGCTTCCCATCCGCTTCCCCTCCTCCCTGCCAGAACCGGAGGCCGAGGAGGAGCCCCTCCTCGTTTCCACGCTGCCAAACTCGAAGCTCTGAAAGGGCGACTGTTGCGCTCTTCCTCCTCCACTCTCAGCTGCTCCTGCTCTCCCTCTCCCTCTCCCGGCGACGGTGGGAAAGGCAGCGCCCACAGCCTGTTCGATGTAATTCCTTTACAAATAAGCCTGGTTTGCTCAATCCTTAATGTTTACCGTCTGATTATGTTTTTATTTTGGGAAACCGTTTAAGTCTGTTTGCGAACTTAGAAATTTGCTCCTATTGTTTAGCCCCATTTGTGGACCATTTGTCCAGCTCGCTGCAAATTGGAGCATACCTTGGTCAAGATTTGTAATGCTACATTAGCTAGTTTCGCTCATTCATGTCAATAACTCAGCGCACAGTGAGATTATGTGCAATTTCTTTGGTATGGTAGGCAGATTCAAAGTGTCTAGCTAATCTTGTAGGGGCTGCTTTACTGTCTTATATGCTTTCCAAATATGCTTTGTTGAATTATGCATGCATGATTAGGAATGTCTGGAAGTTTATTGTTACCATTTTCCCTTTTTTCTGTAAAGAGTAAAACCACATTTTTGTGCTTTCCACATAAATTCTTACTGGAGACGATGTTAAGGTACAGTTAGTATAGTTACAATGTTGATGGTCACATTATCAATACCACATGCTGATAAGAATTTATCACATCGGTGTTGTCATGTACCAGATATATAGACTGCTTGGTTCAGCTTCTAAAAAGTGCTTCTGCTGTCAAAAGGCAGAAAGCCAACCAAATAGATAGAACCAGAAGCTGCTTTTCCAAAAGCGGCTGCTTTCACCTAGTCAATTTTTGCAGCACCTTGAATCTTACTTTTGACTTTCAGCCTTAGAAATGGGTGGAAATAGAGAGACGTTTTACAACTGTTTCAAGGGAGATAAAGAGATAGGGTAGGTTTTATAGTTATCTAAACCAAACAGCCTACAGTTTTTTCACAGCACATATCTCATAGCAACTTTTCCACAACTCACAGCTCACAATGGATTTTTCACAGCTCATAACTTAACGAAACACACCAATAAGCTTATCGGAATTATTTATGACAGATTATTTGCCTTCTTTTTTTAATCTTGATGACTGGGATCTATTTTGGCTCCACTAATATGCGAAGCATATACTTCCTACAATTCTCCATGATGGCTATCAAGTTGTCTACATCTAAAATGCTGGGACATGATCACATTCTAATGTGCTATTTTGTATGGCAGGAGCTTTCAGTTCTTTCTCCAGTTGTTCCATGGGAGGTTGATGATATATGGAGAATATATGCAGGTTATTTCTTCATCTTGCATATCCCCTTGAGCTTTGGAGGGCTTGGTGTGATTGCCAAAGTGCTACAGCGCTCCTCACTTGACTCAATGACAACAGTAGGTGGCGACCTTTTTGTTAACTAACAAATTTCATTCACTCAATTTAATGTACCTGAGTTGGAAGCCTTTATATGGACACTGCCTTTTATAGAATGACATACTCTGTCAATGCAGGTAATTTCTACAGTCATACTTCAGTTAGCAGAGCTTGTTTTGACCTTAGCGCTACTCCAGTACACTGCAAAGTCAGGGCATGCTATTCAACCTTTCTTTTCTGGGAAGGTTTTTACAGAACAGAATTGGGTCAAAGAGACTGTATTAGGCTTTGTAGTTTTGATGGCCCTGGTATTGACCACATCCAGCTTAGCTGATAAATTGGTAGGGTCTGAGGTAAGATTTTCAATGCATTAACGTTTCTCTACTACACTACAATAGTTTGTTTTTAGTTTGGAGGGGTCTAAAAGTTTGTTGGCTCACTTTGGGCCCTTGCAGGATGCATATGATCCGATATTAAAGGAGATCCTTTCTGACAGTCCGGCCTCTGCTCTGTTGTGTTTCTTTCTCTACTGTGTTATTGCTCCGCTATCAGAAGAAACCATCTACCGTGGGTTCCTTTTAACAGCTTTGTCATCTTCAATGAAATGGCGAGACGCTGTCGTGATCAGTTCGCTTGCGTTCACTGTAGCACACCTCTCCGGTAAAAGTTCCATTCAACTGTTCGTTGTCGGATGTATTACAGGGTTGGCTTATTGTCGAACTGGAACTTTGGCTGCTTCTTTCACCATCCATTCTCTGTATAATGCAGTATTATTGTATATGGCTTTAGTATCATGATCATTTTTAGTATAATGTGAATGCAAGTGCTTTCACTTTAGTCTGATTATTGCGGCAGTTATATGCTCGCTCAGACCTTCATCTCCCGTAGTCATCGGGCTAGGATAACCGATGACCTTCGCATGCACTATATCACAGGGTTAACCTAATCACTATTGTTAACCTACTACGATCGTATACCACGTAAACATATGTAATAATAAATAAAGCATGCATCGACATAGACTAGAATACAGTGACATGAGCATAAGCAACTAATTTGCAGGATATTGTTGTAGTTTGATTTTCCTCATTGAACTTCAAAACCAGACCTCTTACCCTTGAACTCTCAAATTTGTTTAAATTGGTCTCTACCTTAGTTTAGAGTGCTTTTGAAGGTGGTTCTGTTCTTTTTTTTAGTTAAAAATTATAAATACTTGATAAGGTTTTAACCACGAAACTATCTCTATGCTTTTAAAAATTCTGAAAAAAGAATCAAGAGATGGATTGGGGTATGACATATTAAATAAAATATTTAGAGCTTATGAAATTTTCTGTAGATGCTTAAAAAAGAGAGATTTCGCTCTAGGAACATGGAAAATATATCCAAAAAATCTAGAAAATTCTTAAAATATTCTAATTGATATGTAAGTGTTTTCTAAAAAATTTCAAAACAAAAAAAAACATAATATGCATCTAGCATGAATGCATTCAACATTAATGCATGTTGATTCATTCTAGTTGTTAGGGTCATAACCCCGGGGTGTCTTGAGGCACCGATAAGTTAGCAGGCCGCACAGCCTGCAACACAACAGTCAGCAAAGGCCCAAACGACCGAGGCCCTGCGAAAGCCGAGCAGAGCAGGCCAGGCGCTGAGGCCAGGGGTGTTCATGACCCCTTCCTCCAGCACAGGTCACGCGACGCTCAAGTGCGCGACCTCTCCTCCGTCATGACCCCTAAAAAGGGACGGGGAGAGGTCGGTCCCTGCCTGACAAACCTACTCTGACAGGGGTGAGCATGCCGCACCGATCCCACAAGGACCGATGTGACGACAGTCACCTTAGTCCAGTCGGACACCATCCCAGTGCCGCATCGCACCAACAGGATAACACCGCACAATGGTGGCCACGGGTACGATGCCCACCGTCCAAATATGGACCGACAGGACGTGTGTATGATCCCACCCACTACATGATGGGATCCATGACAAGGGTCTCGACCTGGAGACCTCTCTGGCTGGTGGAGGGCCTCGACCCCAATGACCGAGGTCATGGCCCTCAGCCCCACGAAGGAACCAGGCGAACAACTACCCGAGGCAACTACCTACTACGGGTACAACGTCTCGAGAAACCTAGAGGCAACGGCGAAGACCATGACGGATGTCGCGTTGCA